TGCCTGCCACGCAAATGTGGGGTCTCTCGGTCAGGAAGGGAAAAATTAAGAGGGGCTGATTCGTACCTATCCTTAAAGTCTTTATTCTGTCCGGAACCATAATTTCTAAGTTTCCAACTTTTTGATGAATATTTCCTAACTTGATTAAGGAAAAAGTTTGCAGTCTATGAGCTGTACATAACGTCAAGAGAGTAACGGTCTTCTAACTGAGTAGTGCAATGCTTAGCTCATCATTCGGAGGCAGAGATTCGAGGTAGGAGATGACCCATTCAGGATCCCAGGTGTGAGTCTATTTTGGCCTAGCTGGACGAAGCTTGGCCACACCTTTGAAAAACCGCTGGACTGCTGGTTCTTTCGCAATGTCCTTTTCAGAAATTAAGGAGAGTGCAGAACGGTGAGAGTTGAGAGAGCCATAAGTCGCTCCCCGTCCGAACTCTTCCGTCAAGAACTCGAGCACTACTGGAGCTGGTACACTAAAACAATCGATGTTTTTTCCGTGGCAGAAGTCCCACCACTTCCGGAGTCCAAAACTGTTCTGCTTGTGGATTAACTCCGTAATTGACTATGCCATAATGTGCGCCGTTGCTGTGGGGATACCTCTTCTGACAAAGGCTTGCCAAATAAAACTCCTGCCACCAGGGTAAGTTGGCAAGCTATGGGATGGACCAGAGATCTGCAAGGAGTAAGTAAGAGCTCACTCGAGGCCTTGAACTTGATGGCATCCCCCTCCAGAGCCGATAGAAATACAGGATACCAGGGTTATGCTGGCCAGAGAGGAACAACCACTATACTCCTCGCTTTATCCATCAAAATTTTGTGGATGGTCGGTAAAATTAATGCGAAGGGAGAAAAAGCATAAAAGAAAAAACCTTTCCAATTGATGGGAAATGCGTCGATTGAGAAAGAAGAGGGGTCCCAATGCCATGAGCAATAATGGACACATTTTGCATTGATACGTGATGCAAAAAGGTCGACCTGCGGTCTCGCGAATCTCTGTACCAGACGTCTAAAAGCATAGTCCGCTAATTCCCACTCTGTGTCCATATTACTCACTCTGGACTCATGATCTGATTCAAGATTCTCTCTTGAGGGGATGTAAGAGCCAAACAGCCAGATTGATCTCGCTTCACACCATTGCCACACCTCTCGCGCCAAGTTGTGGAGATGAGGAAATCTAGTAGCACCCATGTTATTAATATAGGCAATAGCTGTGATATTGTCCACTCGAAGAAGAATCGCACAATTCGATAGATTTTGGGCGAAGCAACAAAGAGCCAAGCGGACTGCTAAAAGCTCTAGATAGTCAATGCTGTAACGTCTCTCTTCCACCGACCAGAATCTTCTAGCTGTGTTACCATCACAGGCTGCTCCCCAGGAACAAGAGAACTCTTCTCTACGTTGACAACGAAACCTAGACTGGCTAACAGTTCGACTGTCTGTTGGGCGTTTGAGTTACATTCCTCAGCCGAAGAAGCGATGCAAAGAATGTCATCTAAATAGATAGATGATACTAAGCGTTTAGCCGGAAGATAAACCATCACTGGTCTCATTTTTTCCGTGAAAACATGAGGGCTAGTCGCTAAACCAAAAGGTAAGCAGGTAAACCGAAAAAAGTCCACTCCTGAACTGGAAACGAAGAAATTTTCTATCTTCCCCATACACCGGTATCGAGAAATAAGCATCTTTCAGGTGAACTTTTGCCATGAAAGTGCCTTGAGAAATTAATTTTATTACCCTCCTTATGTCTTCCAATTTAAAGTGAGGGGGTACTAAGAACTTAAGTACTTACTATTAAGTTTTTTAAGATTGAAAATGAATCTCTTCTTGCCATTCGACTTGCCTATTAAAAAATAGGAGGAAATAAACTGACCTTCACAGGGGGTACAGGGCTCAATCGCACCTAGACCTAATGGTCTCACTATCTCAGCACCAATGACTTTCCCTTCTAGTTCAGAGAAAACCGGCTCTGGAGGAAATCTGGATTGAAAAGGAGGAGAATGGAAGGCGATTCTATAACCCGCCACACACTCCAGAACGAAGGTATCTGTGCAGATACTTCTCCACTTAGGCATGAAGTACCTGATATTATCAGCCTGGACGCTCACCACTTCTTGGCTTCTTGAGCCTTGTCTGGGACTAACGAGGCTGGCAGTTGTCTGTTGGGATGGCGAGATCTGGGATTGGAGAAGCTGCTAGAGCCGCTGTTGCTCACTCGGGTCTTCCCTCGAGGTTTCGTGCCCGCTTGTGGCCTCCTGAACTTGACAAGCGGGCCTTTTGGGTTTGAATTTGAATCTTTAATGGAGCAGGAGCAACTTTGAGGTCATGGCTGAGCTTTGACAAAGTCTTGACCTCCTTCACATTGTCCGAAAGGTTAGACCCATACAGCTGCTGGTCTGACGAAGTAGCCTCTAACGCATCACAGACCTGTTTATTAAGACTAGGCGATATGAACGCTCTTCTGGTGGATGAAAAACCTAGATGCACATGGGTCATCAATTTTCCTGCACCACAAAGTTTCTGATCCAGAAAGATCCAGCTTGTCTATCTCATCATGCTCTAAAAGGTTAGAGACAGCTGCTCCCAGAGCAACCAGGGCGGAACCTGCAAGATTCTGTGAGGCAAAAAACTTTTTATCCCTCTGAACCAGAGCATCCGTTGAGATCGCTAAAATCTCAAGATTTAGCTTTGGAGCTTCAAATTGGCACTTTAATGACGTGCGTGGATAATTCTCCATTAACTTATCCAGAGCCTCACCAGGCTTTCACCAGGGGCTTCGTCAACCAAACTGCCCAGCGAGATGCTAGCTCAGCTTGGAGAGATATTTCCAGCTCTTGAGGTTTAGATGGGTCAGCGCCCAGGACTTCCAACAAGTCCGGGTCCAGGCTGGAGACGTCCTCTAGATCCACAACGACAGGATCAATAAAGGTTTGTAACGAGATTTTTCTCGTTACTAGAGAAAACACTAGTAAAGTCACTAGGTGAAAGGAACGACATCTAACGGCGGCTGAAAATAGCCGAGCGAAAAATGAGTAGAACATCGGACGACGGCCGATCAGGCCGCTCCGAAGGTGAGTTTGACCAATCACATAGTGGGAAGAAACGTGGTAGGGTGAGACCATGTCTCGGAACACTGTGATGGCGCTGACGATAGCTGTTTCCCAATTCGGAAATCCACCCAGCTGTGTTAGGGAGTCCAGGGCCGACGTACAGGCCTTCTAACTGGGCGGTTCCGCAGGGCGCCGTCGACTTAGACCAGGGACCAACGGCTAGGTGAAAGGACTAGCGCCCCCGGGATCCCGTCGAGTTGATTGGTGGCTGTGGGGTAAAGGATGACCCACAGTCGCTGAGATGCTCAGACTAGGGGGAGAAGGCCCTGGTAGATTTCAGGACAGTTCGCGTTGAGTGCTAGTCACGAGCGGGTGTTTTAGGAGCTCGGGATCAGTGGGTGGCAATAATCCCTGCCGGGATTATGAAGGGTACGTGGTTCCAAGGAATCTTGGAATAGCGAGAGAAGGGGACACTTATGTGTCCCCGATCAGTGCAATGGATTACTTTGAGGCTACGGACGAGAGTCCCAGGCTACAGAGATCCATCTCTAGGGCGAAATCCATGGTGTTGGGGTGGACTAAGGGCTGGGATTCAAGGCGTTTCCCGTCGGTCCGGTCGCACGCGCCTCCATGGGAAGTAACTCTAGTTTTGACTCGCGATGAGATTGCTATTACCGAGCTCTCGAGTTGGGGTGGACGTTAGGTGGGTGAGAAAGGTATCCGGATACCTACGTCGCATGTGCCTCGAGCAGTTCGGCGTCCTGCGGGGTGAGAAGGATTCGCAGGTAATCTGTGTCTTGTCGGGGGTTGAGCCACCCCAGAGGAGAGAGTACCACGTGCGAGGGATGGTCACATCCCTGCACGAGAGTCTGGGGGATACGTTCCCCGAAAGATATCGTTGACGATGCCGTAAGCACGGCAGAAGTTAGTGATTGACGTTACTCGTACGTTGATGAACCTCGCCCACTCTACCGTGTCATGCTGATGTGGCTCGGCATTATGAGACCCGCCACCGAAAGTCCGCGGAGTTGACGAAATTCCTTCGCGGCTGGTTTTCCGTCAGGTTTTCCAGAAAAACCTGGCTGGCGCCCAATCGTGAACGATAGAGACGGCAGCCAGAATAGTTCGAGGAATATCCCGGGGTGTTGACCCGGGAAAAAAAGTCTTACAGGTTGTAAGAATAGGGAGGCCTCTGATGGGCTGCTTGCGTCTGGCGCACATGTGTTGGACGTGGCTCACACTCCAGTGTTTCCACTGTTTTTGCGGTTGTCAGATGGCTCAGGGGCAGTTGAATTTTCAACATCTTGATTTTCCTTGTTTTCTGGAAAATGACGACACAAGAGGAGGCTAGGACGTGAGTCGTTCGCTGAGGATATGGTCAACCTTCCTCGAGGCCTGGACTATTGTGGCTTAGTCACTAGCATCAAGCCGAAATCCGCTGCGGCCATTTTGGGGTTACACTTACCATGAGCATCGTCCGGTGGCTGTGCGAAGAGACGCTGCACCTGAACACTTAATTTTTGAATTTTTTGAAGGATCTCGGCCTTCTCATCACGATCCTCATGCTTTCTCTTCTTATGTTTACCCATAATTTAATAAAAATACCTCAATACATATAACTCAATGGAAATTGCGTGTGAACCACTCGCGCACACACGAAACAATGAAAAGTTGGTAGGCCCCCGCACTAGTGGCGCCACGACCGATTTTTTTCTAGCTCTTTGGGTTTGTGTGGCTCCAAGTAGCACTGGCGGGCTACTACAAGTGTTTGAAATCTCGAAGACGAATCTCGAATATAATTAGGATTGATAATTAGTTGGATATGAAAAATTTATATTGGTGGATTTTGTACGCAATCAAATAGCCATAATTGAAATTGATACTTTTGATTATTACATTATCTAATATTCACATTGCTCATTTTTTTAATACATACAGATTTCCCAAGGATGGGAACTTGGTGAAGATCTGGATGAGGAATATGGGCAGACTGGATTTTGTGCCTAAACCGTGGTATCTGCTCTGCATAGAGCATTTTGCTACAAACTGCATCGATTTCCGGGACTTGAGAGCAATGTTCCGGAAGGGATCGGTCCCAAAGATCTTCAACGATGATAAGGAAAACTTGCATTTCCGTCCGATACAGAACTTCATGTACTTGCCTGTAAACGTAAGTTATTTCCAATCGTACACTAGGATTGTTTTTTTTTTATAATTGAAAAACTCTCAGAATCTATTTCTTAAGTCACTCGAATATAAAAATGTTTTAAATGAATTTAAATAGGATGATCAATTTTGTATTTGAGAGATGAAACTTGATGGGTATTTAAGTAGGCAAGAAGTAACCAAAAAGGACTCACCTACCACAACCCGGATAGAAATAGAAGGTAAAATTTCAATCAATATGAATAGTGAGAAATTATCAGGAATGAAACAAAAGATTTTTGGTCATGTTCGCAGGTCGACGTCAGGAAATGCCAGCGACACGGATGGAAGTGATTTCCCACGGCCATACCTATGCAGAGTTTGGAGACCTCCTTTACTATAAGAAGCAGTTAACTTTTCAACATGCACATGTAGTAGTCAAATGTACTGAATAAATCTCCATATTTGAAAATTCTATCTAATCTTTTCATGCACGGTCGTTCCGCTCATATTGTTTACCAAGGATTTGACTACAGCTAGAAAAAAATAACCATTTTAAACTTTGTTCAAAGGGTGAAAAATTGTCGAATCATCATGAATAGTATTATATTTTCTCATGGCCCAGTAAAGATTTTCCATTGTAATCAGCTCAAATTGGACTGAATAGGTAATCTTATTTCCCAGTTACAAATACAAAATATGCAAAAATATTAATTTCCTTTTCGCTTTTCCTATGCAGATCCCATACCAAGAAATACATTAAAAGCTCAAACTACTCATTTCCCGCTATTTTTACGATTTGTATCTGGTGGAAATTTACCCAGAAACTTTCCGACTACTCTACATATAAATAAACATTAACATATAGATAAACATGCAGAGCAGTCGGAAAGTTTCTTTGTAAATATCCAGAGTAGTCGGAAAGTTTCTAGGTAAAGTTCCACGAGATATGAATCATGAAAAATAGCGGCAAATGGGTCGTTTGAACTGTTAGTATAATACTTGGTATGGGATCTGCTGTAACGTGACATTTTCGTGGGGAATGGGAAATGCCCATTACCTTCGCCCTACTTCCCCTGAGCCTAATAAAACCTGCTAAAATTTAAATCAGTGGGCGCCAGGTAATTTTTGACCGGAATTACCAAACCGGAGAAATCCGTAATCCTAAACCTAACTAACCTCGATATTCGTTGCATCGAAAATCGTACCTCGAACTCCTAAAATACTACCTTAAAAATATACACTAAAACCAAAAAGAGAAACCGGAAGGGAACGGAAAGAATATTTAGGCTTTTGAAGAAAGGTGACGGTACTGGGGTCGCTCAGTATGCCAGGTGTGGAGAGAGGGGTGGACCGTAGATGGGGACAAGGTTACTGGAAAAATCGGAAAAAATGCCAAAAGAAAGGGGAAAAAGGAGGAGAGAAATAAATTAATGCAACAAAAACATGGTCCTTACGTGTTCCGCTATTAAGAGTCGAAATTCAGTACAAGAATAATAATCAATGATAAACATTTTTACTGGACTAATCTGCTTTCAAACTTTATTCGCAATTTCAACTTTCTCTAAATATTAGCGTTCCAGCAAACTTCCCAATTACAAATTTAATTCTGTTCTTAAATGATCGCCGACTATGAATTTTCTAACAAAATCCCAAATACAATTTCAATTGTCCCCTTAAATCGCCACGAAAAATAAACTCTCTAACAAAACCCGAAATATTTTGTTGATTATCCCATATTCACACCGAGTAATTCCATCGGAATGCGGCCTCAAGGATTATCGATCGGCGATAATCCGAGGAATAACCGAATTATTATTTTCGCCCGGGACATTGATTATTTCCCGGAATCGGATCCTCTACGGGTGAACGCTAGAGAGAGAGAGAGAGAACGAGAGAAACGGCACTATGCCTCGCTGCTCGGTTAGCAGCGAGGAGAAATCCACCACAATAAATCCGACTACCCTTAAAAATTCAAAAACTCGGGATCCGCTGAGCAGATCCCTGAACAATATTGTTCAAGACATTATTCCCCACAACCCCACGAAATTCTAGGCAAGGGTACATAATTAACCCCGTTGGGCCAATTAATAACCACGAGGAAATTTTATACGCGATTCCCCACCTGTTGCACATAGCCGCTCGATGGCTGCCTCGATGGCGCCATGAGGGAGAACCACTGGCCTGTTTATTGGCCGTGGACCATTCCACCAAAATCGCCATAAAAATACGTTCGGATCCCCCCCAAAATTACACCAACAACCTCCCAACCGCAGTGGGGGATAACACAGGCCGAAGTTATTGGGAAAAAACCCCCCACAAACCTGTAAAAACCACCCAAAGTTTTGGGGGACACAACCGATGCCATTTCCATGCCTCAGAAAAATCGCATAACCGCCAACAAATCTTGGGGAGCGCCCAAAAAGGGGAAAATATACAAATAAAACCGTAAACTCACTTTGGATCCCCTGGATGCCTTTCTCTTCCTCTTTTGGACCATCCTTTGTATTGTCTGGTGTCCTCGGCTGCCCTGGGATGCCCTCGGTGGTGCACTGTATCACTGTAATTACTCCCGTGTTCACTGGGATTATCCGCGTATCTCCTCTTTCACGGTCGAGGCGTAACTGACTTTCGGAGGTCAGTGTCGCGTGACGCTGACCCCCCTAATCACGCCTACCAATCGATCGGGTGTCGATTGGTGGATACCTCTGCCCTATTCCTGGCGAAGTCCTTCGTGGGGGAATTAATTCAAATTTGAATTAATTCCCCATCCCTACAATTAATCTATCACCCCCATTTTATCAGGATCGGTTCTCCTGGGTTGTCGGGATTGGAAGACCTTTATCCCTAACTCTTAAACCAAATCTTATTTCACTAACCCGTAATTTATTTGCCAATCCGCCGGGATAACGACTGATTTTATCCCGAGCGGCCTTCCACCCGTAATCAGTCCTTGACAATCCGCCGGGATAACGACTGGTTTTATGACGAGGGGCCTTCCACCCGTAATCAGTCTTTGGCATTCCGCCGGGATAACGACTGATTTTATCCCGAGCGGCCTTCCACCCGTGATCGGTCTTTGGCAATCCGCCGGAGTAATTATTAATTTTGCCCCATACTGCCTTCCACCCGTCCCAATTAATCCCCAGAACCCTTTTCCTTGGAGCGGCGGTTTTTCAGAGGAACCTACCCGATTCGAAGGGCTTACCCTATCCTTCGTCTAAAATCCCTCTAACCCTTAACCTAGATCTAAACCAGCCCAAAGGGGGGAAATCCTAGTTTATCCTAAACCTAACCCGTACTCGAACTCGATCTCTCAAAGCTCTTCTTGGGTATCCTAACGGGCATCCCCGATGCTCTTTCCACTGCATAGGAAAAGCTAAAAGAACATGAATATCCCTGGCATTTTTTTATATTCGTAACTGGGAAATAAGATTACCTATTCACTGCGCTGAGCATGCGCACTTGATAGAATTTCAATTCCCGGACTACTATTGGGAGGCGCTGATTGGCTCTCAAATCGGCCTCACTAGGAGAATACGCGATATTCTAGCTAGTTATATAGAGATCAGTAGTTTCATCATCTCTTGCTTCTCATCTCGTCTTCCCCTACAGGCCAACCTTTGTCAATTCAGGTCTCTCTGTAGTAGCTCCTTAACTGATTTCAGTTTAATCCTGTAAAGAACACCTGTTGATTACACTGATCTACAAGGCTAATTGAACATCCGATTTGTAAATATTTTGACTCTCGAGACAGTCCCCACAATTGAAAATTCAAAGATCGAGTTATACTCTTCATATTTCATGTTGACATTTATTTCAAAATTTTTTTCATTAATTTCCCTATTCCTACATTTTCTTTTCTATCCCGGACGCAATACGCCTTTCACCTTTCCGTGGTTTCCGTTGAACAGCATTGAAAAATGCTGGCGAAGATTCTAGTCGGGTGTGAGTAAAATATACCCAACAATTTGAAGGAATTGTTGCACCATCATATTCAGAAATATTTTAGTCCATGTATGCATTTTTAAATTTCTTTTTAGATTAATCGCGGCGGCTATTTTCCCCATTTTACAACTTGGCAGAGGCGTCATGGGACGCTCCCCAATACGATGACTGTAAGGCCCCCCACTACTTCCCCACTATAATCGTACTAAGACCCTTATAATTGGCATGTTTATAAACTTCATTGGATTCCTAACTCGAGTTTATGACTCTGCTGTGAGCTACTTGTAGGTTGCCCATCCCTGCACTAGAGAACACTTATATCAATATCAGTATATTCAGAGATTTGTGCTTCAGGGCACAGGCTGCCATAATTGAAGTGTCCGAATTTGACCTCTGGAATCGATCCTCCACTCACAAGATCAATATTTCGCGATACAGTGAATATTTCGCGATAAAGTGAATATTTCGCGAGTTATAAACATTTTCATGGTTGGGGGCATTTGCCCGTACCTATGCGTGAATGATTGAGTTTAAGGTAGGATTAAAAGATGGAGGAAGGGTTCTGGAACTTTGGGCTCGTGAGGTTATAACTTCTGAAGGATTTGCTGCACACGATGTTAAGGCATTTGTGAATACATTGTATCAATTGTACTGGATCAGCGTTTGGGGGTCGAATAGAAAATACCTAGTATAAAAATGTTTCCCCTGGCGGGGTGGGATGTCCTGCTCCAGAAATGCCACTAAATTAAGAAATACCATTAAGGGATTTCTCATTGATCTGGATAATATGAGGATACATGAAGTGGCACATATTATTAAAAGATATGTCATATCGGATCGGACAATGTTGTAATTAATGATGATGGCATATGAATTAACCCAAACATTCGTGGATAATTTGCAAGTATATTCGTCATCATATGGATCACTCATGTGCAGCATCGGCACTTGGCGGTGTCAACGGCTACGGCACGTGGGACGTCACCCGATGCCTTTACTGGTGTGAAACCAAGATAAAACACTTGTTGCAGGCAAATCCACGATGAAATATAAGCTCGTGAATTCGTGGCTTTGGGCACTGTTTGATAGTCAATTAGCAATACGGCGATTCGTTAAGTCACGTTCTTTTAACTCATAATGCCTGAAACAGTCGGGATCAGACAGACGATTTTATTTATTTAATAAATCGTTTAATCACTTAAGAAATTGATTATCCCTGACAGATCTTCAGTTCTAAATTTATCTACGATTAATCTATCCCTATCAACGAACCCGTCTGCTCAAGTCCAGTACTGGTGGTTCTTTATTTTACCGGCCAGTTTTTTTTGCGAATTATATATATTTTTTTCTATTCTGTTCTCTTGTGACATTTAAAAGAAGATACGCTTGGAGTAATATTTCATTCGATTGCAACTAATTATTATTGTGCGAGATCGTAATGTCTCTCATTTACTACTATTTCCGGTTTTATAGGTGCCTCTCCTCTTATATCCTTAAGCCTCTCCTTCTACCCTACTCTAGACTACCCTACCCTTCTCTGTCAGTTTTTCTGGTATCATGGACCGACTTTAATTACTGCACGCGTTTGACTTGTGCTAGGGAAGACCATAGAAAACCCAGTCATCCAGCGGGGCGGTAATGCAGTGATTCTGCTGTTTTCATACTGACTCGATTAAAGCAAGAGTTCTCTGCATGCGTGCCTAACGCCGGCAGTCTCACGGCAAAAGTAGTAACTAAGCCGACACACTCCTAAGTATTAAACCGATTAAACGTGGTTTAGCTTAGATGACCACCGGAATCGCATATCCTTCGCGTGGCTACTACTATCACTGGGATTGATTATTATTCTTTTATTATGTTTAAGACGTATCCTGCTTTATGATTCACGCCTGATGAATCACATATGATTAAGCATCGACATCGGTGATGTTTGCAACTGCCGATCATACATTATCTTCTTAATCGGCATGGGAAGACGTACAGGTGAGAGATCATGATCTTCATCACACAGAGAAGAACATATTACATGATGGTAAACTTAAATGCTTGTGACAGATTGGTGGACCAACTGGATTTATACCCTTGTTTATTTAGTGATCGCTATTATTAATGGTCTCGGACATAGTACTTTGATGAGTGGCTATTCCAACTCCAGTATTTATTCATGAGAATAATGCTCTTATCATTATTTATAGTAAAACGATACACTACTTCTGTACCGAAAAATTGCTCGACAAGTACCTATTGGAGAAAATCTAAAAAAAGTGCATTCTATTACACCACCGATTGCGGAGACAACAAAGAGGACTTAGAATTGAATATTCAACACCGTTCTGTATCGCTGGTGAGTACATGAAAATATTTTATGAAAAAAATAAAAGTTTTCCCTCATAAAAATGAATGGAATGATAAATTCAGATGACGTCTCATTTCTTCGAATTTTTGAACCAATCGTATGGGCCGCTATTTTTTTGCCTTCTAAATGGAAGCATAGTAATCGTCGAATTTTGAATGTGCTATTTTTGAGATCTGGATGACCGTTCGGGATCCGGTGGGGGATCCGGTTGAGGGAATATTTTTGATAGGTAAACAAAATGTGAATGAATTACAAGAAGATACGGATAGGGTAAAATAAATCACTCACGTGGCACCGATCAAATCAATTTGATTGTCAGTAAAGAGTTACTAAATATTTTGAACTATTATAATCAATTGCGACAATAAAAAAACTGAAGCGCGTCATAAAAATGATCGAGAGGTGAGGGTCAATTTAGAAGACAAAAGAGGTCAGAGAGGTCACTGAACTGAAAAAACAAAGTTCCGACAACAGCTCGTAAACACTCTTTGAACGACGAAATGCAAAGGAGAGAGAGTGATAAGCCACAAGTTCGCGGGTGACAATCATCGTGATGACCTACGTACCCCTGTCCATCAACGGGTGCCTCGGGTGTCAGAAGTGAAACTGATCATCTTCGGCCACTTTATGAGTTCAACGGGTCATAACTGTATTACGGAATTCGGTTGAAAACCGAACAATAACTGATTTTGGACTGACAGCCTTCATATAAATCATCCAGTGAAGTATATGATTTTTTCCACTCTAAATTTTAGTTTTTTAGGGTTAGAAAAACCAATTTTCTAGTAGTGAATATAAAAATTATTTTTCCGTACGGCTTGCTACGGTTTCTCGTCTAGCTATTGGTACTGCATTCATCCCACATTCTTTCAATAGTTTAAGGTAGTCTCGAATACAGCGCTGATGAAGCAGTTAAGATCTTCTAGGTACTTTGCTCTTATCTCACTACAATTCTCACTTGTCTGGATTGTCGGGAGCATCGCTCTCGAAAGGGCTGCCTATGTAGCGCTGACCTTTGTTTTTTCCAATATTCTTGGCACTTCTCATTTGTCTCTTAATCCCCACATCGTTGTTGCCTTCACTGTAGCACCTGAAGATTTTCTCTTTTGGTCACCTAAAGCTCTAGCTCTCCCGCAGGACTAATTTGTGGCTTTGACTTTGCCGAACTGAGCTGATCTGATATCCATGCTGCGATTTCCTACATTAAGTCAAATGCCATTGGAGTTGATTGTATTTCGTGGAAGATTGGACTTTTTACTTCGCCAGCCCTGCCTGATTTTTTTACCGGTTTAGTCAATAAGTCGCTTACTGATTGTATCCTTCCTTCTATGTGGAAACAGGCCGTCATCATACGAATGCACTAAATCGGCAACATCATCGACGAGTTGTTGTTGAATGGAAGTTCACAATCCTCGTTCTATTTGATTTCACCAAATCATTAAACACTGTATCATTCGACACCGCGCGCCATGCTAGCAACCGTGGGTGTTTCAAGGGGTGCTGAAGCGTGGTTCTGTTCCTACTTGGCGAATGGCTCGCAGGCTGTGACGGGAAACCATGTTGGCTTACCAGACTTTCTCCCAACCAATGCGTTATTCCTCAACGATCCATACCCGGCCCTTTGCTCTTTTCCCTCTTCATTAGTGACATGAGGACCTCCATTCTTGAAGTATGACAACTACTATATGCTGACGACCTTCAGATCTACTTCAGCTACTAGCTATCAGAGCTACCCTTAGGCATTTCTCGCCATAATCAAGTCTGCCTCTGTTTGGCAATCATCAATTCGAGTGGTTCTCTATCTCCAGCTACATGACCATTGCAGCGATCATGGTCGGGGTAATGAAATCTGGTTCTCCATCTTTCCAGACTGATTCTTTTGCTAAGTACACATCCTCCTCGCCTCGTCGGCAAGTTTTGCTCGAGCAGGCTTCGGTACTCTCTAAATCGCCTACGGAAACTTATAGAACTGGCTTAGAAGGTGGTGGGCCCAAGGCGTAGAACAGTATTCGCGAACGCATTAGAAACTTGGCGTCAGTAATGTCTTCTACGGTTTACTTAAGACGCTGGATGCAGAGAAGTCCTCTGCTTTTTAACTCTGTTCTTTATGTTTATTTTAATAGTTTTGTAATCTATTATTGTTTCTACTTCTTTGTCCTTTGTTTAAACTTCTAAATAACGAAGGTATTATCTTATGGTATTTTATTTCATCTTCGATGCCCACGGCGGCGCTATCGGCAAATACCACTATATTGGTATTTTTCGGAATTTGTAGCTTCAACAATCCGTCGTGCATGACGATCCAGACCGTAGGACCTGGTACTGAAGCTTGAGGCACCCACCCTGTCCGTTTTGTCGCGGAGGACCACCACGGTGAAATAGTAGTCACCCATACTTTGTACGTATCCTGGTATTGAGTTCTAGGATAGTCTCGATAATACAGATGCAATATTACGGCGTTGTATCATTACGCCACCTTTTCCCAGGCATCGCTTTCTTAGCATAGGAAGGACGATTTTGATCGGGTCCAAAGTCGACCGACCCTTAAAACGGTTCTGGCATTGCATGTAGAGTCGAGTTCAGTACGGAATTCGGAACACCGCTCCGGGTTGGAGTCTTCGAATTAGCTATTCTCATGCAGGCCATGTAATGGCGAATCCACGATGAAGTATAAGCTCGTGAGCTAATTGCCTCTGGGTCAATTTATCAACCACAGTCAATAAGTAATGTAACGATTCGTTAAGTCACTTCTCTATAACTTATGAAGATGTCTACGGGACCATAAAAAAGACAATATTTATGTAATAAATCCTTTAATTACTAAAGACGTAGATTCTTTCAGTGAGATGTTCATTTTTAAATTGTCCACGAGTGATCTATCGCTATGACCGTACCCGTTCGCTCGGATCGATTATATATTCACACATAGACTCCATTAGTAGAGTAGCGGTTTGTAGGCGGATATCCGAAATTTATCAAGCGCAGTGAGAACCTAATCATACTGTGCGTGAGAGTGATCCTGAGATCGCGATCATCTTGTTTGAAATTCACATCAAGATGAAGGCCGACCCTAACCATGTCCTCCATTTCAAGAACTTCCGACTAACTCGTTTTCAGTTTTGTAACTAAGTCATTATCATTCGAAACGGTGCGAATGTCATCAAATTTTTACGATGACTACAGAATAGACATGAGTTATATCCCCTTGAATGCAGATCCACTTACGTAGTTGGTGAATCAACCATTTATACTCACTTACCCTTTACTGCTCCCATCCGTAAAGTAAATAGTCACTTCAATAAATAGGCTGGATTCTGATACGTCCTTAGAGATTCCAACCAAACAGCAGTTCTCTCAAATATTAATCATGTTGTATCCTTCGTGGGGGGTACTTATATTCATTACAGATTCGAAGCTCTACGGAATTAATCGCACCAATTATTTACATATTATAACGTGGTATTTCTACCAGTTACTGGTTCCCGACCGATTCGCGTGATTTTAAATCAACTTCAATGGCGAGAGGTTATGAGCAGAGAGGAGAATATGTTTTTGATTTTATTTTGTTTTATTTGTGAATTTAAATTCCGCGCCACTGCGCTCCATCTCGATCGAACATCGCCGAGGATCACTAGGAAGCTAAGAGATGTCATCAGGCGCCATTAAAATTTTTGGCAATTACTGGATTTTACATGGGGCCGCAATTACCACGAAAGTGACGTATTTGCTGAGCACGAGGTTGACTAACAGTCAATGGAAAAATAGGAACAAATTAATTAAGGACAGTTACTGTTCTCTCAGGGTAGCGAATAATGCAGAAATTATTGTTGGGATTTTAGGAAGCGCTGAGAATTTATTCTCGTTGATTCAAGACAGTTAATGGTTGTTACGCATCGCGAAATATAATACCGCATGCGTTTCGAATATATTATCTCTGTCGTGGATGCCCGATTAATTGGGATTGATGCATAATGACGTCGTCATCCCCCCCCCCCCCGCCATCATCTGATACCACAGCGTTACCTACCTGTTGCCAATTTTCACGTGCGGCGAAAATCACTTCTTGTGTGATGGACGGGTCCGGGCGGTCCTGTTTGGAAATTTCTGTGTTGAGGAACGCTATTCATTTTGGATAACGTTCTGAAGAATTCTGAGGAGACTTTCGAGGAATTCAGGTGAGCGTGGTGGCCAATTTTTGTTAATAATAATTTCGTTTATTGTGGGCAAAGATTATAATTTGTATTATTTGGTGTTACGTACACCCCAGTCCTGTAGGACGGTTAGAGTATTTATTATATCAAGGAATCTCTGGCTACTCGAATCAGTGAATTTCATAACTCTCTCTCTCCCTCAAGGAATTTGGTTGAATTAATTTTGTTACATTATGTGACGAGGCACAATTTTGTGCCCCCTCCCCCCCTCTTGCCACTCACTAATATATTCAATTTTCATAGTTTAAGATAGATTTAAGTTCCTCTTTTTCCACCGTTGGGCAACTCATCCCCGGATATTCCTTACCCCCGTCCTCATTTCCCCTTGCCAAAGCAGTCACACATCAACGAAGAGGACCCTACGCGAGCCCCGAAGGAAGAAGACATCCCTCGAAAAAGAGAAAAACACCTGCTTACGAGTGCTCCCGATTAACCCCGATTACCCACGATAATCGGGGAAGAAATCAGGATGTTTGGCAGCCATGACTCGTGCCACAGCTGCCCCACGAGTCACTGCCCCGAATATCAGAGGGCGATTAGCGAGAGGGGAAGAATTAGTGAGAGAAGACCCTGTGAAGAGACCCGGTGCAGAGACATTGGTGAAGAGAACTATGGTGAGAACTATTGTGAGAACAAGTGTCGAGGAACTATTTGGAGAACTAGTGAGGGGAGATTGGAGAGAAAGATTGTGTGGCGGAAGCGTTTTGAGAGGATACCCGGAGAAATCAAGGAGAACGAAGGAAGGAAGGAGGAGGAATCCCGAGGGGAATCGGGAGG